TTCACCACTAGTTTCTCAAGAATTGAATTTTAGATAAATTTTTATAAAACTAAAAAAATTCAAAATTTTATTCAAATCAATGACTGAACATAACGTCAATGCCATTACTATTAAATTAATCAAAATTAAAAATAAACAAAATTGAGATCAACTACAGTATTTAAACTAGTAAATTATTCAAATATTTTCAAATTAATTCCCAAACCGATGGCCCAAACGTATAGTCAAAATAATTTAATGATAATATATGCTAGTGTATCAAAATCGACAAAAATATATGTATACTATAAATATATGTTTTTACATTTTAAGTCCAACTTATATATAGTTCGTTAAGCCCTCCGAAAAAAACTGTACTCATATTTATAACTAAATAATCATATTATACTCGTTATTATTTGACAAATTAAAGACACATTTTACTGACGGATGTCTTGATTTTAATACATTGTATGTATTCATAGTATTTGAGCTCATATTTACACACACTTACAGTACATACTGTATTATACTTCACAAATGCCATTCCCCTGGTGATATTTATACAAATAAATAGTGAAAAAGAAACAATTTATTTAGCAAACACGACAGCGACAATAAAAACATATACTGTACTAGTACAAAAATGGTATCGTGGGGTATAGATAGCAATGAAAATAAATTGTAAATTTAAAAAACCTAAATTAAAATTAATACTAAAAACCGTTGATTAAGTGGCAATCAGCTCGAGATAGGGGTTGGCCTCCACGGCACCGGTGGTAACAGTAGTATCACCACCGATGGGACTGTCGACACATCGATTATCATCACTGGTGCTCATCGTACTGTTCCCGCTATTACTACGACTGGCGACACTCTTATGGCAATTGGTGGACACCCTCTGCCTGTGACACGAGTCGCTAGACTGACGGCGCCTACAGCACGACTCATACGTCTTGTTCGTCACCGTCTTATAGTTGTTGATATACTCGCCGTCACTGGACTTCTGGGTGTCCTCATTGTCCTCATTGTCGTCGATTTGATATTATTTTTTAATATACTTTCTTAGCTTCATCCCTACCCCCGCCGTCTATACATTATACATATTATATGTCTGTCTGACTGTCTGGCTGTTAAACATTTCCAATATTTGCTGACATTTTTTTTGTTAAGAATATTTTTTCTCCAATTCACTCAATGTTTTCACTGTCTGTCTCTCCGCACACTATTTGTATAATATATGAAAACCTCCACTGTTTTGACAATTAATTTGATCATTGTAGTGATAAATAATCATATTATACAGGGCACAGACACGCCACAATGCAAATTCAAGGCTAATTTATGCTCAAGTATATTTGATGTCTATAAGGGATTATATTCTTGACAACAATGCATTTGTCATATTCTGTGCTATATATAAATTATTTTCACAGAATATGTTATATATATATATGAATAGCGTATTGATATATTGGGTTAACATATATTTGACACTTTTTGGCCACCCATCCCTCTCTGTCACATATATTATTTAATATTATATATAAATTTAATATGAAGTTTTAATGCACTCAATAATTTTGATTATCCCTGCTTATTATTAGCTATTAATTCTAATGGATTTAATAAAAGTTATATTAAAAGAGTAATTCATTTATAATGAGATTATTAAAAATGTATGGGCAATGCACACAATGAATAAAATTTGTAAATATAAGCAAAAATATTTCATAATTAACTCAACAAATGTTTTCGTAATGAATTAATTTTGGTTTATATTTTATTTATTATAATTGAAGCTAATTTAGAGATAACTATATATTTTTGATAAAACATATAATATTTATAATAATATATTTTCATTTGTTGATAATACCTATGATAATATTGCTAGTCCTTTAGGGTAATTATTAAAATATTTCAATGGAAAACTTAATATATATTTATTAAACAATACTAATCTAGGTAATATTATAGTAATCATTGCTAATATTTTAATTCACAAGCATTAAATCACTACACGTTTTGTGAATTAATTAAATTAAACTTTATAAATGAATATAAGTACAGCAAAACTTACAAATATACAGAAATAAACTAAACTAGCTAACATAACTTTACGAATTTAAAATCCCTTAAATTAAAAATTTAAAAACGAAAATAATTCTTATAATTAAATGGACGTATGATTTGTTTACTACATGTCTGTAGCGGGTCTGGTGTTGGAGCGCTTCCAGGTGTGCGTATTGCCCACCGATGCCAGTGAGAGGGCGTGTCTGAGGGGTCAGCTACAGCTGGTCATATTCACCCGGGGCGTGGGCGTGGCCCGGGTGGGCGACTACGAGTGCTTTCTCCTGTGGCCCATAGCCTTCATCCGGCAGTACAGACACGAGTCGATCAAGAATAACAAGAATAATAATAATACAGTGATTCTGAGCCAATCCAACAACAAGTGCGATAAAAGGCAAACTGTGGTCACCCTAGAAGTCGGAAGGTATGTCCACTCATGTTATATGTCTGTGTACTACACAGTGTGTAGTCAGTAATATATGGACTTATTTTAGGAGTTTGTTGTTTACGACAATAGTATTGAGATTACGGAAAATTTTAAGAGATATGAAATTTAATCCATTGATTAAAAATTGTTTTTTTCTTTTTTTTATAGAAAATACTTCATTAAAAATTGTTGACTAGATATGATTTTTAAGACTTATTATTATGATTATAAATATGTCGTTAAAGTAATTGCTTTTTCACTAATTATTTACGATTTCGGATTAGATTTCTTAGTTTTATTAGATTTATCGGAAAATATCATATATTTATTTTAAATTTATCATATTTTCAAAAGTCATTTATTATGCAATTATTTAATAAATAGTTCAAGATTATAATTAATAGACGTATAAATCATAAACAAATTTTACCTTTTTACGTAATAAATAAATCTATTACCGTAATAAGCTAATATTACGCTTATTGACAACTATGGTAATTTAAAAGTTTAAATTAATATTTTAAATGTTTTAATTCATGATACTTTCATTTTTATGTTATACGCACATTTGCTATTTTAAAACATTAATTTAATAAAAGTTTATAATTAGAAAATAGATATATGTACTAATTCAAAAAATAGAAATTTAACAAGCATATTTTGACGTAATATAATTATAAAAACAACTATTAAACGTCATTATAAACTATTAAAAATATATAATAAATATAACCTGACACTTTTTATTTGATATTAAAAGTGAAAATGTAATATATTAATTGTAAAATATAAATCATAAAATGAATGTCGGAGATATTTATCGAAATATTTATATTAAGTTTTATATGGCATTCAATAAATGAATCCCAATGTTGTAAAAAATAAGAAAAATATGTAGTCTTTCCCGGAATATCGATTCATATTTCTATTCCCATACACCACATGATATGTATTTGACTACCTGTGCTCTATTGTCTGGGATTGCATACATGACTTCGTATATGAATACAAAGTAATTCATATGAGAAATGTATTGCATTTATCAATAAAGATAGAAAAGTTAAATAAAACATTTTTTTATTAAATTAAAATTATAATATAATACATTACAGATGTTAGCAAAAAAGTAAAAAATTTATATTAAAATATAAACCTTTTATATTAAAAATATTCCCGACAACATACATATTTTTATAATATGCAGAATACAGAATATTCTGTTTATAATCCTAATATGTAAACAACTGCTGTAGGAATTAAACCCCAGGATTAACTCAATGGAGATTATAATATAGATATTAGAGCTAAATATAAATCAATACTAAACTCTAATCAATGAAAACTCACAGAATATTCACATTAAATACAATTCATGTCCAAAACACTCCAGAATCTCATTGAAAACTAATACTCAAAAAATTCATACATTTTTTCAGGAGGTGTTCCACAGGAGAGGGTGTCTTCTCATTCAGGACCAGCAATGGACAGGAGGTTATGCGGCAACTGAAGCGGGCCATCACTAATTGGGCCCAATATAAGGCCAACTGTCGGTCCAACAGCCGGTTCGCCAACACCTCCACCACCCCCACGACAACCGTCGGGCACCGGTCGCACCGGTACTCGCGCTCGCGGAGCTCAGCCCCCTGTACGCCAAACATGTCCGACGGCACCAGCAGTACGTCGGCAGCCCTGCGAGCCGTCACTCCCTCACCACGAAAGCAGTTCAAAGTGCGTCGGGGCGACACCGAACCGCCCCTCCCGGTGACCACTGCGCCCAAACTCACCAAAGACAAGAGTAGGTCCATCTCGGATGACGTCAATTATGTGATACCTATTTTCGACGACAATGAGGACAATGAGGACACCCAGAAGTCCAGTGACGGCGAGTATATCAACAACTATAAGACGGTGACGAACAAGACGTATGAGTCGTGCTGTAGGCGCCGTCAGTCTAGCGACTCGTGTTCGACGACAATGAGGACAATGAGGACACCCAGAAGTCCAGTGACGGCGAGTATATCAACAACTATAAGACGGTGACGAACAAGACGTATGAGTCGTGCTGTAGGCGCCGTCAGTCTAGCGACTCGTGCCATAGGCAGAGGGTGTCCACCAATTGCCATAAGAGTGTCGCCAGTCGTAGTAATAGCGGGAACAGTACGATGAGCACCAGTGATGATAATCGATGTGTCGACAGTCCCATCGGTGGTGACACTACTGTTACTACCGGTGCCGTGGAGGCCAACCCCTATCTCGAGCTGATTGCCACTTAATCAACGGTTTTTAGTATTAATTTTAATTTAGGTTTTTTTAAAATTTACAATTTATTTTCATTACGATTCCCCACGATACCATTTTTGTACTAGTACAGTATATGTTTTTATTGTCGCTGTCGTGTTTGCTAAATAAATTGTTTCATTTTCACTATTTATTTGTATAAATATCACCAGGGGAATGGGATTTGTGAAGTATATACTGTATGTGTGTGTAAATATGAGCTCAAATACTATGAATACATACAATGTATTAAAATCAAGACATCCGTCAGTAAAATGTGTCTTTAATTTGTCAAATAATAACGAGTATAATATGAATATTTAGTTATAAATATGAGTACAGCTTTTATCGGAGGACTTAACGAACTATATATAAGTTAGACTTAAAATGTAAAAACATATATTTATAGTATACATATATTTTTGTCGATTTTGATATACTAGCATATATTATCATTAAATTATTTTGACTACACGTTTGGGCCATCGGTTTGGGAATTAATTTGAAAATATTTGAATAATTTACTAGTTTAAATACTGTAGTTGATCTCAATTTTGTTTATTTTGAATTTTGATTAATTTAATAGTAATGGCATTGACGTTATGTTCAGTCATTGATTTGAATAAAATTTTGAATTTTTTTAGTTTTATAAAAATTTATCTAAAATTCAATTCTTGAGAAACTAGTGGTGAATGTGTGACAGAATTTAAACAGTCGTTGAATATATGGTTATTATATTTACTTTTGTATGGATATAAATGCTTCAATCAGTAATTAAATTAACTGATCAGGGCTGGAAGGGAGAGGGAGCTAACAAACTATATGTTGAGATAGTTTTAACAATTTTCTAATTTATTATTTTCCAAAAATATATGTTTATCGCTATCATTATAAACAACTTATGGCCCAAACCATAGCTCAATAGTACAAAAGATTTATTAAGATATTTGGCTTTTTTTATTCACTAATACACCAAATATTCTTGAGCTTCAAATGATCGGAACAAATAAAATATAAATTCTTGAGATAAACAGCAAACACACACAGAATCGCATGACTTTTATGAATACACAGAATATATCGATAGATAGATAATATATTTCAGTGATAAACAAATTTAATGATTATTTACAGTACGGCCTGAATTGGGAAATATTTTTTACAGAATAAATACTAATAGAAGAAAAGAGTAGTGTATTTGAAAACAACATTAAATTCTTTGTATTGAATGCCAAATAATATCGAAATTAAATATATGTTAATATATTTGCTTCGCTCGAGAGCTAAGAATTTGATTGAAATTTATTTTTTTATTATAAACAGGACTTGAATTTTATTTATATATAAATACCGGTAATAATATAGCCTATTATGCCCCTGAACATCTCACTGAGTTTCATGTGAAAAACAAATTTTGATTAAATTTTTACTCTACTATTGAGCAATGTTTAAAAATACATATAATATTAAATACTTGATATTAATATTACTGTATGTTTACTATCGATATGTTTTGCAAAACATTACGAACAGATTTAATATATAATATTATTAATATTATATT